GGGGCTTTGGGGGAAAAAAATAAATAAATAAAATTAAAAAAATAAATAAAAAATAAAAGCGTATGCTTTAAAAGAAAAAATTTTAGGGGCTGGCCCAGTGGCGCAGTGGTTAAGTGCACGTGCTCTGCTTTGGCGGCCCGGGGTTTGCAGGTTTGGATCCCGGGTGTGCACCAGTGCACCCCTTGTCAAGCCATGCTGTGGCAGCATCCCATATAAAGTAGAGGAAGATGGCCACAGATGTTAGCCCAGGGCCAATCTTCCTTGGCAAAAACAGGAGGATTGGCATGGGATGTTAGCTCAGGGCTGATCTTTCTCAAAAAAAAAAACAACAAACTTTTATTTCCACATTGTTCCTGAAATACATCATTCATATTTTAGCAAATTGAAGATTTTTTCATGACAGAGCCAATTAAAATTAGTTAAATGTGTAAGTTGCACACTTACAACATAGTATTATCCTGAAGATTATTTGTAATATAATGTGCTAAGAAAATAGATATAATTTCCTATTTGAGTATTCCAAATAGTAGGACATTTCGGTGATTATTGCTTATCAGTAGTTAATAATAAATTCCTTTTGCTAAGCTTTGGAAAATGATTTGTAAATAGTGACTAAGTTGATGGAATAGTAAAATGAATTGAATATGCAATTATTATATTTGCAGAATTACTTTACTCAAAAGTAGAGTTGCAAATTCATATAAAAATAAAGTATATATGAAATGAAACAAAATTAAGAACAGTATATGTGTACAAAAAATGAACACTATGAAAAGGTCAGAAGTTTATCTTGAACAAAACTATATTTGTGTTAAAAACAATCTTAGCTGAAGAGTAGATCGTAAATATCAATATTTTCCTAAACAACCAATTACTTCTTAACCTCTATGTGGATTCATTCAGTACCCAAATATTAAGCAGAACAGGGAATAGCAATGGTGAATTTGCTTGACTTTTTCTTCAAAGGGATTTGATGCTATTTCTTATGTCTTCTTTCAGTGTATTTCTGTTTTTTCGTTCTTGTTCTTTAAAATCATTTGCAGTCATCCTTTGTTAGGTAGAGGGAGGAATTTAATATTACAAGTAAAAATTCTTTTTACCTTTTTGTTTTTTAATTTAAAGGCCTTGTATGTTGCCAGGTTTGTGTATTTCCTTTACGACTAAAAATCTGTCTTACCGGATACCAAATCCTGGACTCACATTTTCTTTTTTTTTTTTTTTTTAAAGATTTTATTTATTTATTTCCACCCCCCAAAGCCCCAGTAGACAGCTGTATGTTATAGTTGCACATCCCTCCAGTCGCTGTATGTGGGACGTGGCCCCAGCATGGCTGGAGAAGCGGTGCGTCTGTGCGCGCCCGGGATCCGAACCCAGGCCGCCAGCAGCGGAGCATGCGCACCCAACCACTAAGCCATGGGGCCGGCCCTGGACTCACATTTTCTTTCCTTGAGTATTTTAAATATATTTCTCCATTTTTCTTCTGGCATAAACTATTTCTATTGAAAAGTTAATAATTGCCTAATTTTTTTTTCCTTATAAGTCCTTTACTATTTTTGCCTAGCTGTCAACAGGTTTTTTTTTCTTTTTCTTTAAATCCCAATACTTTTAGTAGACTGTGTCTTGGAGTTGGTCATTTTAGGTTGATATTATCATGTATGCACTGTGCTCTTTCAATATGTAGTTTCAAATCTTTTTAGTATTTGGCCTATTCCCTTGCTTTGGTACTCTTCTTCAGGGACTGATTATTTGTGTGTTGGATCTTCTTTGCCTATCTTCAGTATTTTCTGAAGCGTATTCACTTTTTCTCAGATCTTTTTGTATCTCAATTTCTTTTTTATTTTAAAATTCTTTCTCCTTTTCACCTCCATTTCTCTTAAAAGCATTATCTGGTATGTTTATTTGCTGCTCTTGTATTCTTTTTAGTTTTGTCTTAATTTCTGGAATTAATTTTTTCTTTTATTTCTGTTTCTTTTCTGAGTTCTGTCACCTTATTTCTGAGTTTTTCTAGTTCTGATTTATGTTGTTCTTTCGTGTCTTGTAGCATTGTCTTTAATGTCTTTTAGTTAATTTTGAAATAATTAGTTCATTTTAAAATAATAGTGGATTATGACCATTTGGGGATAATAATAGTGGGCTCTGACCATTTTTTGGTCATATCTTTCAGGCACACTTTCTTTATTTGTAGGAATCTTCTTTTTTCTTATAATAACTTTTTATGGGATTTTGACCTTGATTCTTTTCTGTTGTTCATTTGTATGTGAAATTAGTTTTTCTGAACTTTCAAAAGAAAGTTTGGTTCAGGGTAGCTTTCCTAACTTGAGAGTTCACCAAGTCCCCTCTTTTCAATTAATATAAAAAAATGTTTTGTATTCGTTTATGAGGTGGTCATTCAGTACAGCCACAAGAGGGGACATAGGAAAGGAGCAGGAAAAGAGAATTTTTCCCAGAGAGGTAAAGTCACTGCATGCCACAAGGAGGACACCTAGAGGGAGCACTAAGGGAGCGTTCTCAATCAAGCAGGTAGGGAGGAGACAGAGAAACAAATGAATCCGTGGGCAAGTGCCTTTGTTGGGGGTCAAGGTGAAGTGCAAAAGCAAAAGGTGTGAGAGGATTTCTTTGGTGCACTTGAATGTCACTAGACCACAGTCAGGTGAGGGCAAGAAGTGGAACATGTGGCAGGGGCCAGCCTTATCACACTAGTGCACATGGCAGCTTGCTTTCTATTTCTTGTTCTGCACCCTTCCACAATTTTATCTGGACCATCTCTTTCTTTCATATCTAGTGCCCTGTCTTGCTAATTTTGATTCTTATCAATGCTGGCTCCTATCCTGGAAGGGAGTCCTGGCTGGTCAGTTTTCTGAGTTCACAGAGCCTAGACTGCTCCAGCCTCTTCACATCTCACTGTGGGCTCCTTGTATTCTCTATTCGGTTGGACAAAATCTCTCACAGCTTCAGCCTTTCTCGTGTTGGCCTCCTGTGCCTTCCAGTGAGTAACCTGTTGGCTATTTTAGACTTCGTTTGTTTTCAGGTCTATTATTTCCTTTTGACTCATCCTGCACAAATATTGATAATGTTAATACCATGCAGGTCTTAGAGCTTTTGGTAGTTTGTTCCCACCCTCTTGAATTTTCAGGTTCATGGAGATACCTTGTCACTTGTTAATGTTTTCCATGCTATTTAATTGCTGTTTTTATGTGGAGAATTGAGGAGATTAAAAATCTGTGCTGCCGTGCAAATATCTTCCCAGAATTCCCCTCTGGAGCAGTTTAAATATGTTAGAGTTTCTTTTTCTTAAAGGTTTGGTAGAATACTTTTTGAAACTCTCTGGCCCAGTGTGTTTTTTGTGATTATCTCTTAGAAAACTTTCTCTGTGTCCTCTATGATAATTTGTCTGTCAGATTACAAGCTCTTCTGGAATCAGTTTTGATAGTTTATATATTCCTAGAAAATCCACTTCCTCCAGGCCCTCAAATTTATTAAAATTGTCTTTGTTTTTAAATTCTTCTGTATTAGTGGCTAGTGCTCCATTTCCATTTATTTTATATCTGTTGTGTTCTCCTTTATTTCTTGAATTGGTTAGTTATAGGTTATTCTACTTTTTCCCCCAAAGAAGCAGCTCTTGAATTTATCACTTCTTCTAATTTCTTCAGTTAGATGCTTAAGTCATTTCTTTTTATTCTTTCTTGTTCATTAATATAATTAAAAGCCTTTGAAATTTCTTTCAAGTGCTGCTTTAGCTATGTCATCAATTTAATAATTTTATTTATTTATTTATTTTTTCCCCCAAAGCCCCAGTAGATAGTTGTATGTCATAGTTGCACATCCTTCTAGTTGCTGTATGTGGGACGCGGCCTCAGCGTGGCTGGAGAAGCGGTGCGTTGGTGCGCGCCCGGGATCCGAACCTGGGCTGCCAGCAGCGGAGCGCGCGCGCTTAACCACTAAGCCACGGGGCCGGCCCCATAAATTTTAATATGTCATATTTTAATTGTTTTCTGAATACTTGGAAGTTTTAGGTTTGATTTACTCTTTGACCCAAAAATTGTTTGAGAGAGATTTGAAAGTTTCTAGAAGGTAGGGATTATTATTTTCTAGTTGTATTATTAACTTCTATTTTTTTGTGATTTATTGAGCTTTTTTTAGCTACCTAATATATGATTACAATTTTCAGTGTTTTGTGGGAATTTGAAAAGAAGATATATTTTCTGTTTTATATTAAGACTCCGTTATATATTGATTAGATAATCTTAATTAGGTCTTCTTTTCCTTTTTATTTTTGTAGGCAGTATCTATTTACTCTATGTAGAACTGAGAAAAGCCCCCACTAATGTGTTTCAGTTTCTTCTCATATTTTTTGGGTTTTTGGTTTTGAATGCTAGGGTGTTTGAATAAGATTCATTACTGCTAGCTCTTCATTATAGATTATGGTCTTTATCATCATAAAGCACACTTCTTTTGTCTTTTTTATAACTTTTTCCCTGAATTCAGTCTTGTCTGATATTACAATCATGAATGCAGCTTTCTTATTATTTTATGATTGCTTGGTACCTCTTTGCCTACCTTTTATTTTCAGTCTTTCTGAATCACTTTATACTGGATACATCTCTTTTAAAAATATTTTTAATTAAATTAAAATTTAATTTAATTTTGATTTGTATATCATAAAATTCACTCTTAAATTTTTATATGTCACATATAGTTGGATTTTCTTTGTTAGTCAGTCTGGGAGTTTTTCTTTCATAGATGAGTTCAGCTTATTTTCATTTATTGATGTATGTTTGGTTTTAGTTCTGTCATCAAAAGATCTGTTAGGATTAGTTCATATGGCTTTTTTGCCTTTTATATCATTCACTGTATGATCCGTTATTATAGTTTCATTTTTGTGTGTGTCCTCTGATAATTTGCAAGTTCTGCCTTTTTGTCTTATGGGTTGACTTTTCAGTTATAACCTGTATACTTAATTTTTTTCTCAACTTTTCATTTAAGATTTGAATCCTACAAGAAAAGTAGAAATAGTACAGTGAACATCTATGTATCATTCAACTAGATTCATCAGTTTTTTTTTTTTTTAAGATTTTATTTATTTTCCCCCCAAAGCCCCAGTAGATAGTTGTATGTCATAGCTGCACATCCTTCTAGTTGCTGTATGTGGGACACCGCCTCAGCATGGCTGGAGAAGTGGTGTGTCAGTGCGCACCGGGGATCCGAACCCGGGCCGCCAGCAGCGGAGCGCACACACTTAACCGCTAAGCCACTGGGCCGGCCCATAGATTCATCAGTTGTTAATATTTTGCTGCATTTGCTTTATTTCTGCCTCTATCTACAATATTTTTTTCCCTAAATATTTGAATATACTACCTCAGCATGTATTTCTCAAGAACAAAGACATTTTCGTACTTGGGCACAATACCAGTATCACACTCAAGTACTTCAGCATTGATATAGTATCTATATGGAGTCCATATTTAAATTTCCCTGGTTACCTCAATAATGTTCTTCATAGACTGACTGACTGTTTTTGATGAAGTAAGGATCATGTATTGCATTTAGTTATGTCTTTTTTGTCTCCTTTAATCTAGATCAGTCTCCCAGCGTTTTTTTCCCCCCTATGGAAAATCCAGGTAGTTGATCTTGTAAAATGTCCCAACATCTGGATTTGCCTGTTTCCTCATGATTAGATGCAGTTAAATTTTTCTTGGCAAGAATACATCATAGGCAATATATCCTTTTCATTCCATCAATGCAGAGGCACGTATATCAGTTTGTCCCATTATGGGTTGTGCTAAATTTGTGATCACATGGTTAAGGTAGTGTCAATTCTCTATTTTTTACAGTATCTTTTGACTTCTTCCTATCAACAATGACTGTTTTTCTGCTTCCATTTACTTTTAATTGTTTATTATTTTTCTTATTACTTTTAAAACATACTTATACCTCTGTTATTTGATTTACTGATTTTAACTGTCTTTTGACCTCAGCTATAGAATATGAAGAAGACAAAGAAATCAACATATTTACTCTGTCTCCCACGTTTTCTCCCTCTTCTCTTCCAACTTTGCTTATTCATTCACTTTTCTTTAAAAATGAAGAAAAAGGACTAAAAACATTCTTCAGATCTATATTTTCAGTTATGTGGGTGAAGCCCACACATAGGATGTAGTGAGGTTGGAGCAGTTGGAAGAAACTGGCTGAGAGAACAGGGAGAAAACTTGTTCCATAGGCTTAGGGAACAATGCGTGTTGGCAGGCATTGGGTTTAGGTTTGGACTATTATTTGGACTGTTATTACTTGTCATCTACCCCTCTTTAAAATGTTAATTAACCCTTCTTCATGATTCTTCTTGGTTTGACCCTTCTAATCTTAAAATTGTAGGCTCTAATCTGGTGGGTGGAACTATTTTCTGGGCTGTAGGAGCAAGTAGCAGAGCACTCATCTGGGACCAGTATCAAGCTGGGGGCCACCCCTGACCCTCAGATTTTCTTAGTCCTCATTTTCCATTCATGCCCTCTCCATTTCTGTGTCTGAGTGTGCCTTTTATTCTTTTCCTCAGGTCTCCCAGTTGCTGGACAAACCTCAGAATTTGTTAACCAAGTGTTAGAGAAGACTGCAGAAGGCAATCCCACTGGAGGCCTTGTAGGACTAAGGATACCAACATCAAAGGTGTAATCAGCTTCATTGGACCACTGGTCAGAAATGTCTGTCTTTGTCGCATTATTCATTGTAAATTTTCATTCTGTTTTGCATGTCAGTTTAGCATTATGTAAACATTTACAATTAGGTTACATTGTTTTAAGAACTAAATAGCATAAGTGAAGCATGATCCAAAATACTTGATTATTGCATTTTCAGAGCATAAACCATTTAAAACTGCTACTGGCATCAGAATTGAAACTCATACATTTAAGTAAATGTTTAGATACAGATTGCAAAAATCTGTTACAGCAAAACATTTTGGAGGAGTGAAGATATTAGTAAATGCCAAATATTGTGGCAGGTTTATGCTCTGAACCACATTAAAAAATTGAGGAAGCATTTTTTCAAACAGTCAGTTTAGATTGTTTTTAGAATTATTGCTTTTTGTTCTAATTTTCCACAACCTTTAATCTCACTTGTACATGGCACAACCCAGCACTCATGCCCGTGTGCCATATTAGATGTTCATTTTCCGAGCTCAATATGGTATCTATAAATATATATATAAGTATATATATAATGTCTGTGCAAGTAAGAAAAAAAAGCATATTCTTTGTGCCTTGTATTTTGGGGAAACTATAAAACTGGTAATATTTTGTATGATGAAAACCCTAATGAGGAAAAACAAGATATATAGATGGAAAAATTATGGGGTTTAAATGTTTTTTTGTTCCAACTCTTTTTCAAATTTTTTGAATGTATATAGGACTATGTTGAAATGTAGATATATGCCACAGAGTCTGTGTATTGTATAAAAAACAAAACAAAAAAACAAAAAAAAGATGGCTCTAGAAAACTCATATTTCGGTACTTGACCGGAAGAAGACAAATACTTGCACATTATTGCGATTGTTTTATTTTTTGTACCAAAGACAAATGCAACTGATATGGCAAACTGCCAGTCTAAGTAAAGTTTTGCACAGCTTACATGATACTGTATGAATGTATGAAAAAGAGAAAAAAAAGAAAAATGAAAAGGTCAGGGTTAGGGATCTTACTGAACTGTGAATTTTATTTCTGTTTGGGTCCAATTATCTACAGAAGGAGCATCCACACATACAAATATTATTTTGCTGTTCCTCTAGTTCGCTTCCATAGTAGATAAGTTGGTGGCCATTTAGGTGTCTGTAAGTCTTTTTATTTCTGCACTTACGTAGGAAATTTTAATATATTTCATTTTAGTAAGCTATTGGTAAATAGTTTTTGACCTTGAAAATTAAAAAGTTTATTTAGCTTATTGTAGTATACTTCCACCAAACAACCAAAATACAGATTATTTTTATTGTATTATGTATATATATATGTAAAGAAAGAAAAAAGCTAAAAATATCTAATTCTTTAGTTGCCACTTTTCCAATTGATGTATTATTGTGCATGTAATATTTTCAAAGATCAACACAAGCTTAAAACAAAAACAAAAAAAATTTATAGATTTTTATATTTTTGTACAGGTATTTTCAAACTAGCTTCTTCAAACTTACATGTGACTTATTCTTCTTCTATAGTTTCTAGAACTGAGAAATATTAACACATTTAGTTTTTAGGTGCTCTTTTTTGCTCACATAAAACAGCTTCATTAGTCAGTGTTTTAACTATGTTAAAGCTTTACCTCTTAATGAGAAATTTCTTGTGTCAAGGCAACATTATAAACCTTCCCCACAGATCTTTCCATCCTGTCTCTCTTACTGTTTTATTTTCAGATCTTGTGTTTTGAACTCTGAAAACTGGTGGCTTAAAAACTATACTTTAAAAAAAATCCTATCTAGCCAGAAAAAAAGTACCAAAAATTTCAGACCTAGCTGCTGGGAAGGTATCTGTTTCTCCAACTATTTCTCCATTACCCCTTGGAGAATTTATTCTTTAATTCCATTTTGTCTATATAGTGTGTTTCCTTTTCTTTTACTTCCTCCTCAACGCCCCCTCCCCATTTGTAAGCGATAGCACCTGAAGCTGTAGCTTCTGAAACACACAGTAACACCTGAACAGTGTGCTTACAGGCTTCTTTGACATCATGCAAAAGAAACTTTGAGAAAGATTGTCTTAACACCTCAGCTGAACTGTGATGCACAAGCTTTTCCTGAGTGCTTGGTGGAAATGTACCTGGCTAGTGCTTTCACGCTAAACAGAGATAAGCTCAGATCTAATGGTTCAATAGAATGTAAGTTCATTGTTTAAAGCTTTTCCTTTTTAAGTGGGAGAAGGCAAAGCACAGGTTTGTAACTTGGGATTATATAAAGTTTTGACAGCGTATGTCTGGTAAATCAATACGTGTTCCAAAATATGGCAGTTTCGCAATCAGGTGAAAGTCACCTCATGATAGAGATTCAGCTGATGAGGTTTATAAAATTGCCCCTTTCTAGCTGCTCTGTTAGGAATTCTGGTTTTTGATACTTTTTTCTTGTCTGCAAACCAGAATTTGATTTTTTGGTCTTGCATTTCAAAAAAAGACTTTGAATCTGTTTAGTAGATTCCTTATCCTTGCATTTCAGTGTTTTATATGTACTACTTAAGTTAAATAGTTGAAAGCTTTTAAATAGTTGAGCTTTTTAATGTTGACACTTTATTTTGTACCTATTTATATATGTATGTATATCTTAGAAAAGCACTTTGTTAAAAAAAATTGCATTTTATATGATTCCTGCCATTTGCTGCTAAATCTGGGCTGGTCAGAATGCTGCAGCGATACTTGATCTACATAAAAACCTGGCAGTAAAATGTAGAGTGAAAGTTAAATCCTCTTGCTGTTTAACTTTATCATAAAGATGACATAGGCAAGCTGTGCAGCTTTACATTTTAACCAGGGGACTCTGTGGCATTTAAAACCGTCTAGAAATGGTTGTACTTTAATGCCAGTAATAATCTGCTTCCTCTATTGTCATTAAAATATATACGTTTAGTGTATCACACAAACAAATCTTATAAGGGTAACATAAAAACCCCAACAATTGTACATGTTCTGTTTTTGAAAATTGTGGCATGTATTTTTGGGTGAAGATCATTAGAGAAGAGCTCTCTAAAGGTTTTCTGTGTTCATACATGGTATACAGATAGCTCATAATGAAGTCCAGAATCTTACTTTAAGTGAAGGCATTGTGAATTCACCTCAATCAAATAAACCCATTGTTCCAAAAGCAATTATAAACTTTGACTCTAGAACTACTATGATTTAAAAAAAAAAACAAAAAAAAACAAAAAACGTTCTTCCTCGTTTCAGATACACTGGATTCTTTATAGAGTTTGTCTCCATATGAAAGCATGCTGTCCAGTTGTTCTTGTTAAGATCTTGTCTGAGTTTTGAATTGGGTGCCACACTTTTTCAGTCGATATGATTGCTTGTTCTACTGTACCATGTATGATTCTTGTCCTTTCCTATATCTTTCATGACAGATTATGATGTGGCTTTATATTGTGCCTTACTTGTACATTTAAACGAAACGTCTTCATTCCCTTCCACTTCCTAAATCTTTCACTTTGACCTTTTTGGTAAGAGAATCAGAGCTATTATAAAAACATCATGAAGGATTTCCGATGGGTATGGTTTCAAATTCCCTCTCTTTATAGTTATTTTATATTTGTGTGAAAGACCAGTTTTGAATGGTCTTTGAATATGAGGGGGAAAGATTAGCAGTAATTTCACTACATCCCTTTTTCCTGACTTTCATGAATTTGTCATACATCTTCTTTCTGATGCTTGACTTTATTTGCTCTTTAGCAATAGTCTGCATTTAAAGAAAGGTGTGTTCAGTTCATCAGCTTGAAATTGACTATTTCATTTTTCCAGAATTTTTTAGGAGAAGAGTACCCGTTTTGTTTGTTTTATAAAACAGATGACAAGTCTCTTTAAAAGAAACAGAAGTACAGTACTTTTGAAATACAATGCTGTTAGTTTGGATTTCTTTTTTTATATATAATATTCATACAATTATCTGATGTTTGCCTTCATTAATAAAGCTGTTAGTTTATTCACCAAAATGTCAAGAATGGATGTGCTTTTCTTTATTCCATACATTTAAAAATATTTTAGCTGCTAAGATTTAGTTAACTTTCTAAGAAACGAATTCGAGTTGCCTTCAGCAGGAATTAAAAACTTATGTTCCCTTTCTTTATATAGTCTTCCTAAAATTCTGTTCAAGTATTTTCTAGTTAATTATGTAACAGAATGTTAGCATCTCTCCAAATCTTGAAACTTGAATTTTGAGAATGCATTGAATTATGCTTTCAGTGTTAAAGTAAAGGTTTCAGTTATCCTTCTAGTGAAGTCTATTGTGGAATACCATTTCCCATGGAACTGAGGCCATTTCCACAACTTTGCACAGAATTGCAGTCTTGTTCTTCCCTTGGATCATGACAAATAAGTCTCACACAGTGCCGTAATACTTGTGGATTCTTTTGTAATCTTTGTAATCTTAATAAGGGCATTATGAGAAGATGACTCCATGTTTTTTTAATATTTCAAACACATTGGGATGTAACAATGAATGTCAACTGTAGGAATGGTTGTTTCGTTTTAAGGAATAAGCATGTTGGGGAAAGATGACAAAAATGTACTACTGAAAGTTTTACACTTCCACAGGCAGGTGGGATTATGTGTTGAAGCATAATCCTCATGCTTAGTAAACTGACTGAAATTGTAGAAATTACACCTAGGAACTGAATTATGCCAAATTGCCATTTTTGTTTAGAAAAGAGAGGTTTGGGGTAGTAATGAGGGAATAGAACCTTAAAACTACTTCCAAATAGTATTTTGGAATTGAAGACTTGGTGGCTAGTGAAGAACATCACAGTTGGGTATTTCAGTGTGCCAAGTTTGGGTGAACTAGGTTTGCCTTTTTCATAATAATGTAAACACAATGGTGTAGTTAATTAAATTCTGGGTGGATGGGAGCGGGACTGATTACTGTGTCTTGCTCTTCGCCCTTTGTTTTTTTCAGAACCAAATAACAGAAATGTGTATGTGTGTACTGTATCTGCCTTTCCACCACATTTTTATGACACTGTATTCCACTGCCTGCTTTTTTGACCTTCTTTCCCTAGGATTTGTCCTATAACTTAGCATTTGTAGTTAACAGTGATACTAGGGCTGACCGCACATGAGAAGTCACAAGAGAAGAGCGGAAGGGCAAGAATTCAAAGCATTTGTTCATACAATGTGGCAACCTCTTTTGCATAGTTGCGTAGGATCCTGTTTGTAATGCTATCATAAATATTCTGTAGTTTTGTTTCCCCCACCCCCTCCCAACTGGAGCTATGAAACTTTTTATTGGATTCAGTCTTGTCTTTTGTCTAGAAAGAATTTTATCTTGTTGACGCATGAGCTGTTT